TCGTGTGCTATATGACCCTATCAGGTCAGACAAGTTGGTCAAATTATCCAACTGAATTTGTAATACTAAGGACCTGTTTGATTGCAACGAATTTCATAAAAAAAAGTCACTTTCGAGGAAAACGAATTCCACTTTGACTATTTGGTTACAACGTGGAAATGTAAATTGAATTCCAAGGTACAACCACTTTAAACTGTATTTTCTTTGTTTTCATGAAAACGAATTCCTATAGGTTTGATGAGTTTTTATTTTCCAACTGATATGGAATTGGAATTCCGTTCCACCTTTACCTATCAAACGGACCCTAAGAGAAGTTTGATTTACACATGATTTTATCAAAGTCCTTGTCGAGTGAATATGGATTTTTTAAGCTGTTTTAAACAAGCTCTAATTTGAAGCTTTTTCTAGAAAAGCTCTAAATTCGATTTTTATTGAAAACTGAAAATTGTATTCATTATACTTATCGAAATTATATTTAGTAAAATGTCATAGATATCTAATATTGTAGATATCATATAATAAAAATATAATATTTAGTCAAATAATTATTCAGCATGTAAAATTATTTCTTTTGTAGACAATTAAAAGAAACTTAGCCCCTCTTCGTCCCTACTTTCAAAACTCAATTTTTTTAACATATTCATTTTTAATCACGTATTCATACAATTCTTTTTACCATATATTATCCAAAAATCTATTATTTTAAAATAATATTTTTTTCCCCAAAAAATGACTATCAAATAGGGGCTTATAAACTTTTTGATGATCGGGTCAAACGGACAGTTTGGAAAATTCTAAATAGCGGACATACGCTAAACAATCCACGTAGCATAGAGCAAGAGTTGATATGAGTTGAAAACTCGAAATTCGAAGTTACGCTGCGTACAGATAAGAAAGAGAGCAAATCCGACCAATCATTACTCAAGCTGTAAAGTAAGAACTCTGTTATATGGACAGGATCACGTAGGCCGTCCATCCAGGGGGCGATGTGGCGCCCCCTATTGGTTGGGTACTTGCGTCCAATTTCGTAAATCACTGTCTACAAAAACAATTATTTACAAATTTTAAATTTTTACCAGGGTAGATAAAATAAAGAAATGAAACTAAAAAGAAAAATAAAACAATTTTCTATGCAATAAACCGAAATAGAAAATAAAATTAACATTTAAACTTGCATAGCAAACTTCTAATTGAAATAATACTCTGTACTTTTCCTTAATTCAAGTTTTAAAAGGCAATTGAATATTTTCATACGGTGCGAATTGAAGTGCATGTTTGGCCAAGTTTAGTAATTGCGAATGTATGGTTTAAATTAATATTTAATTTGGATTAAATAAAAAATTAATTTTTAAAATATTTTTAATTTTACACGAAGATACCAAGTGCATATACATTCTTGAATACGACAGAACACAACAAATAAAATTTAAATTTTGTTAGTACGATAACATCAATTTATTTCTTGAAATCAAGACAATAATTTAAGGTATGTTTGGAATATCTTTTTTTTTTTTTAGAATATGTTTTTGGAGGAGCTTACTTGATCATCTTCCTCAAGAAGAACTTAAACCGAACAAATCACTTCCAAAAATATTTAGAACTTATTGGGTACAAATTAAAATCAGATTTTAATTTAAGTCAAAGTCAAACAATCAATATTGACCACATCTTTCATGGGTCCCACAACTTTTTAACCACACATTTCAAAAATTTCTATCAAAATTTACTAAAAATCTAATTTTAATCCCCACCAAACATTCCCTTAAAAATATTCAAGAATGTTTTTTAATTTTAAAAATATTTTTAATTTAAATATCCCTTTGATTTTTCAATTCCGAAACTCAAAGCACCCTAATTCTCATTCCATACACGTCAGTCCACGTGTCCTCTCACTCTATCCCACCACCCCTATCCCCCACTCAATTCCACCAATAAATACTCCCGCATTACCCTTCAAATCTCTGACCTCTTTCTTGATTTTCATTTTCCAGTACTGGTCTTTCTCCAAAACTAACAAATCTAAAATCTCCTTACAATGGCATTGTTCTCCAAATTCCCACTTTTGTGCATGTTCATGCTCTGGGCCACTTTCTTGACCACAGTTCACTCCGCCACCCACGCGGCGCCGGCCCCCGCCGTGGATTGCTCTAGTTTGGTGCTCAACATGGCGGACTGCCTGTCATTTGTTACCGCTGGAAGCACCGCCAAGAAGCCTGAAGGAACCTGTTGTTCTGGCCTCAAAACTGTGCTCAAAACCGACCCCCAGTGTCTCTGCGAAGGCTTTAAAAACAGTGCACAATTTGGTGTCACTCTCAATGTTACTAAGGCCTTGGCTCTACCCTCTGAATGCCATGTCTCTGCACCCTCTGTTAGTAACTGTGGCTGTGAGTTTACTTTTTCTTCTATTTTACTTCCTTTTATTTTCATTAATTTCTGCTTTTTTTAATTTTAATTTTTACTTTTATTTTGTTCTTTGTACAGTGAGCATTGGCTCTGTCACTGGTGGTTCTCCAGGTAGACACAGATCTTGACTAGTCATATGTTTGTATCTACTTTGATCTGATTTTATTTTAGAAATTATCACACATTGGTAATGCACTATTTGTATAGGCATGTGTAGCTCTAGCAATGAACCGAATTCTTAAACAAAAAATAAAAAAATGAAGTGTTACATGTACATAAATCTATACCTAATGGTGTCTATAATTACACATGACACTGGATCCAACCATTAATACAAATCTCACACTTTCACATCAACAACATGATTTTGTCCACATCACATTATGGACACTATTGTGTAAATATATTATGTACACGTAGACTTTTCAAAAAAAAAAAAAAATTATGTACGCAGTCGACTTTAACTTTCATAAAAACTCATTTGGGTCCATTTGATGGCAAACGTGGAAAAAAAATTCTAATTTCATGTTAGTTGGAAAATAACCACTAAACTCACGAGATTTCATTTTCCATGAAAACCAAGAAAATGTAACTGAACGTGGTTGTTAATTACTCACTGACAATTGGCTCTGGGCAAATTTGGGTGGAGGGCCTATTTTGTTATCTTTTTGACTGTTGGGTCTATTGTCTTTCTTTTTCCGTTTTATGTTTTAGAGTCGGGTTGTTTTCCATTTTTATAATAAGAATACATTTTGAAATAGTAGATTTTATTAAAAAATGTGTGGTTAAAAAATAATTTTTTTTTAAAAATTTACGTATAATATAATTTTATTGAAAAATGTGTAATTTAAAAGAAAAAAAAATGTATATTAAGAAAAAATATTATCAAACAAGGCCTTATTGTGATTCTCGTGGTGTCTCATTCCTTGTTGTGCTGCTCAAGGTTAAGTGGACCAAATTAAGTCAGACAGTCTTGTCTGGTCTCCATTTATTTTCATGGGTCCCGTCTGCATTTTATAATGATTTTGGCAGGACAAATTATGACACGACGAAGGATGACATTTCATCACATCCATGCTTTTTCTTTTAATGAAGATGATTTTGCTCGTGCTTGGATTTTCGGTTTGATGCATGAGTAATGCTATTCAGCATCTTGGATATCAAATACCAATTTATGTGGTAACAGGGGCGGACCCAGAAGTAATTTTGAGTAGGGGCGAGATAGAAAATAAGCTAAAAAAAATTAATTTTTTTTTTGATTTTTTTTTTCAGTGGGGGCTGCCTCCCCCGCTAGGCCCTTAGTGGGTCCGCCCCTGAATGGTAATTACATGATATTAAATAATAAATTCACTTAAATATAATATCACATTATTCATTTAATTGAACTTATCAAGTGTGGATACTTAAATTGGTGTTTGGCACCACTGCTAGATAATATTATTCTTTGATGCATAGTTTCACCTACACAATCCCGTTAATTTATTGAGGGTACATTTGGTACTTTATGGAAAAGCGTACATTAGGATGTCAACTAGTGGAACTTTGCTATTTTTCGGACTATTTTCAAACTAGCGAAAATTCTGATTTATAACAAAATCAAACAAGGGCTTATTTATTAGTAGGGTGTTTGGTGGGAATTAAAATTAGATTTTTAATAGATTGTGATAGAAGTTTTTGAAATATATGGTTGAAAAGCCGTGAAACTCATGAAATATGTGGTTAATATTAATCTTTTGACTTCGACTTAGAGTAAAATTTGATTTTAATCCGAAACAAATAGGACCGAGGAGATTTGATGGTGATTTTATTGTTCCTGGGGGTCCAATTGTAATTATTGAGAATTTGTATGCTTTAGTTCATGAACTGAAGCATTGACTAATAAAAGTATATTCCTTTTCTTTTCAGCTCTTTCTCCATCGTCATTGCCACCTAGCTCAGTCGCTGGTGCTCCAAGTACCGGCATTGTTGCTAATGACATTGCTCCTACACCAGCTCCGGGAAGCTCTGGTTCTTGTGGACTCGCCATCTCCTTGGGAATGCTTTTCCTCACCATGGTACTTGCTGCTATCTTCTGATCATTTCCTGCTCGATTTTCAAATGAGAATGGATCACGAGGGATTGTTTTTATGTATGTTTACATTAACTGTCCGGATATTCTATCTTACTAGGAGATGCATATATCGTTCTTTTATTACTGATCAAGTTCCTAACTTGACTCTTTGATTTACCTTAATTTTACTCATGGTTCTTCTAGTACTTGTCACTTCATTTATCGTGCCTTGGGTACGAAAACCATTTATCAAGAAAATTAGAACAAAAATCTTGAACTCGGACAAACACGTTGATTGCAACATATATTTGTATTCATCAACAAGCGAATTAACACAACAAAACAAACAATATAATAAGAGATTTAACGAGAACATAAAACTTATTATTATACATGTCAAAAGTTTCTCAACATAAAGCCAACTTTACACTCTTCATCTTGAGTTTGATATTTCACAATTTCTCAACTCGCATCTATTCCTTTCCTCGTAGGAAAGCAAATTCACTCATACTTGTAATATTCCGGGTTAGGCCAACTAGAAATATAGTCAAGGCTCCATCTTGGGAGCCAAAGTCGTAATGGCATCCGCAACAGTGAGGAAGATTTTGTCGTCTCCAATCTTGTTTGCAAAATCCGATGCATGGAGCTTGTCAAGCACAACTTGTCCCGGGTTTGCTAGAACGAGCTGTGTATAAACAAACATTAGAATAATATGTAATGATATCAGAAATGAGAAATGACGAATTCGTTAGTCATGTCTTATTGTGTTGAGTCCAGTATACCGAACATATCCTTAGAGTATAGTACACCCGTCTATCTAAGAATTAATGCGTAGTGCTCATATCAAAGTTGTTGAATTACCTGTATCTCTCTCTTTTGTAGACTTTTGTATAAATCTTCCAAAGCATGAATGCCACTGGTGTCTATATCAGTTACAGCTGCAAAGAACAACATTTGGTGGTAAGAATTTAGGTTCATTTGAAAGCAATAGGGGCAAAAATATGGAACATAGTGATGCTAGAAATCCTTACGAGACATTTCAACAATCACATATTGGATTCTTGGTAGGTTATTTTCTTTCAGCTGCTCTTCTTCATCAGTTAGCCATCTCAAGATCCTGTAAGTATGTATTTCAATTAGCATTCGTCGAATTCTGAGTCGAATCTTCCAAAAAAATACAGTTACCTCGTTTTCTACAAGATTGTACCTTTCCCTGATGTAATTTGAATTGGAGAAGTAGATTGCAGAATCAACTCGTACAATCAGAACACCGGGAACCTTTATTGCTTCTGGATATTGTTGAATGTTCCTATAAACACTAGTCCTAGGAATTTTACCTAGTACTGCTGTTCTTGGCCTTGTCACTTGCAAGAGAATCTTCGCGAAAGATATAGCCACCTGGCGTATCGAACAGCTCAAGAAGTTAGATCGTCTGGCAAAATGAAATTGAGATATCTTAGAAATTTCTATCTTCTTACTGCGATCAGAAGGCCTATTTCCACTGAGATGAAAACCACACCAAAGAAGGCTCCCATGCAAGCAACAAAATCAAATTTATCGATCTTCCATATAAGAATCATCGCGTCTATGTCAAATAATCCTACCACAGCTGATATAATGATGGAAGCCAATATGGCGTTTGGTGTGTATTTGAACAACGGGGTGATCACTTCTAGAGTTAGTAGTACAACGCAAGACATGACGATGTTTGACACTGCTGTGTTGCATCCAGCCATGTAGTTTACAGCAGAACGAGAGAATGACCCTTCAGTACCATTGCAAAGCAAAACAATTAGTGCATGTTTGATACTCAACATTGGACTGGATTATCCAATCCTTTGTTTAACGATAGATAGACAGAATAAGCATTCTAGTCCAACCTGTAGCCACGTAACAAGATGTCATTGAGCCAATCACATTCATTGTCCCTAATGCTACCATTTCTTTGTTTCCATCTATATTATAGTCCTTCAAGGCTGCAAATGTCCGACCAATTGCTACAGCTTCCTGTAATTCAATGTCGATTAGGTCTATCAGTAGTGTTTGAACCGTGATAAGTCTCTTTGTTTGCTTCGTGTGTTTTTGGTTTCTATGTTGCCTAATTACTGTTTAATTTGTCAATTTTTTGCTTACTGTCAACGCAACCATGCCTGCTACAGCCCCAATCCTGAAACCTTTTGCAAGATAGTCACCAGTGAAATATATTTTCTTCGCAGACGAAGGGTTGATGCCTCGATGAATATCGTTCACCTTCAAAGATCTCGTGAAAAGTTGATATCAGAAAAGTCATTTTAATGAATGATAATACTATCGTTTTTCATCGTGATCTGTATACTCACAATCTGGACACCCTTTTTATCAGCGTGAGTGATGTAGACGAAAAAGGTCGAAATGATAACTGAAATCAATGGAGCAATTGCTGGAATCCAGAACAATTTCTTGTTCTTTTTGCCCTGCTCATGCAAATATTTTGTAAATAATAAACGGATTTATCGCATCATAAAGTAACTAGGAATATTCAGAAGAACTATGATTCTTACAATGTACTTGGCAAGGAGAAGGAAAGCCAAAAAAGTGACTCCTATTAAGATAGTTTGCCAGTTCCACTACAACACAGAGAAACAATTAGCTTCAACAAGAATACTGAAAGATCATCGCACAAGGAGAAGGTCGAGAACTTGATATTGAACCAAACAATTTAAGATCGAAAATATATGTACGTGTTCATGTATGTATGAAATTGCGTTAATAATCTCACCCCATGATGTACTACAGTGAACACAGAACGCATCACGGAAACAATATCAGTTTTCTTTGTGAATTTCTTTATCCCCAGTAGACCTTTGAGTTGTTGAAGGCTGATAGTGATTGATGCTCCAGCCATAAATCCAACAATGGCAGCATGAGAAAGAAAGTCAATCAAGAATCCCAATCTGAAAACAAAGTCAGTTGGAGAAATGAGAAATCATTTGTGTTTGAAGCCAGTTCGGCAAAAATCGAATGGAACGAAATTGGAAATACCTGAAAAAACCAAGTACAAACTGAGTAACTCCAGCAAAAAATGTTGCTGTAAATGCAAGGCGCTGATACTCTATTTTGTTCTTGGGGTCGATCTCATCTTGAAGCATACTCCCAAGCAATAGAGACACCACGGCTACTGGTCCAATGGCAATATCTCTTGAACTACCCATGCAGGCATATATCAAGGGCGGAACAAAACTACTATCTGCAATTACAGCAAAAGTCAAGCTTCCTATGTAAGTCCCCGAACTTGTTTCATAGTATAGTATATTCATTAGGCTTTTACTGAAATCATTAAGTGAAGATTGTTGAGGAGAAGTTTTTAACTTACACAGCCCGAACTGAGGATCCAAATTTGCAAGTTTTGCATATCCAATATCCTGCAATGCAAAGCCATGAAAAATTAGAACTGGCAAGTGAAATAGCTGACTGTTAGGCTGAGTCGAGCCTAATCAAGAAGACGTAATGTGCGCGTGCTTTTCCTTTTCTTGTTTCTGATTTCGTTTGGTTTATTTTAACTCTCGTAGGAAGAGATTAGGTCTTAATCTGTAACATGCACCGACAACATTAGTAAATGAAGTTTCTTGGGAATTTGATTACCTGAGGAATACACAGACTTGCAATGGTAAGTCCAGCAATCAGATCACCTTTAAACTTAGAGAGATTATAATGTCTTCCCCAATCCAATATGGGAAAAATGGCTTCAATGCCAAGCTTCAACTTTCGTGTTCCTGTTTGGTCCTTAAACGGGCGTAAGGGATCATCATGCAAGAATGTCTCCTTCAAAGCATACGTAATCTCCTTTAACAAACTCTGCTTGGGAGGAACTCCCACCTTGTGAACATATGGCAAGTTCTCAACATGGCGACGAGAAGAAGCAGCGCTAGTTATGTCTTCATCGTTTGTAACACGGTTGCTAGTCATTTTTGCCCTATATCACCTACACAAAAAAATAGCAATGATCAAACTTCCTTATGAATTTTTGAGTCGACTATATGAATCTTTTCTCGGGATTAACATAAACGATACAAAGCAAATACAACGAAAGAATATGGGCGACGACTTAATGAGAGAACTAGGATCACCACTCACCAGGATAAGATATTCTAAGAAAGAACTAGAGAACCTTTATTTTATATACATACATCCGAGCTCCTATAAGTAGACTTTAGAGCTAAAGTATTAAAATACACACAAGGGTCATTTCATCATACACAGTAATGAATCTAGATCTCTTTACAATCACATTCATATTCTTGGAGAATGATTTTGGATAAGACTACTTAATTAATGAGAATCGGTATATAGTTAACGATAATTGAACAAAAATAATTACTTAATGCAAAATAAATAGTTGATGAGTTGACTTTAATACATTATAGGCCACTTTGTCTGGAGATTTAGTACGTTATCTTTGTGTCAATGGCTTGTAATGTCCTCTAATAATGGTTCATAGCTGATAACATAAAGGAGGGGTGTGGAATTACAGTCTCCATTCGCGGCGGACAGCCGTTGTAAGTGCATTCACTTTTCTTATTCAAGAAAGTTCAATACAATCATAATTATGGAGGTGAAAAGTATGAAAAAAGCTGCTCAGTTTTGCCTTCTGTTTACTTGTCATATTTGTAGGATACCATGAATTCGAGGTCGACTACAAAGACTTGATCTTAAGAAACTCACGAGTCGACTATATCGACATTTTTTTTGTTGTTTCATTCGGTTTATTAGTTCTATTATAATTTTATCTGCAACATGTCATGTCAGTTTTAATGAATACCTCCGTCTTTTGATTTGTTTATGAATGAGAGTATCTTTAAACCCATGTTTGTCTTCGTTAAAGTAAGAAAATGAGTTTTGAAATAGTGATTTTTTTGAAAAATGTGTGATTGAAAAGTAGAAAATATTTTGGGTTTATGTACAAAATATTTTATTTTGAAATTGTGTGGTTGAAAATAAATTTGAGAAAAAAAAAGTTTTGGAATAATGGTAAACAAACTAGGGCTAAGTTCATACGAAATGTGTTAAGAAAACTCGACTTTAAGAGCGAAGACGATGAATTTTAGAAGATATTGGTAAATGTTTGATATATAGAAGAAATAAAGCATTGTGGAAACAGTTCCAGTCATTATTTCTACAAGAATATGTGCTTTATGCCAAACATGTGACATAAGAGAAAAGGTGCTTTTTGGATGTATAACTTTTGATTCACATTAATTAAAACCACTATTAGCTGAATAAAAGTAGACAATACAATAAACTTTTGAATAGTAACGAGTATTAATTATGGGTGTTTGAAAAATATTTAACTAAATTTATAAACTCCTCAAAAATTATTATCCAAACAGAGGTTTAACCCTTGTTTGGTGGGGATTAAAATCAGAATTTTAGTAAATTTTGATAAAAATTAATTAAATGTGTGATTAAAAAGTTCCGAAATCCATGAAATATATGATTAAAATTAATTGTTAATTTTAACTTAAATTAAAATCTAAATTTTAATCAGTACCAAACATGACCTTAGTTTCGAGAGGTCAAATAACATAAAATTCTAAATTAGCTTTTCAAAATAAATCCACCGGCCACATCTCTAAGACATTGACAAATAAATCAAGTACTAGGAAGGAAGAAACAACATCGACAATTCAAATAATTAAGCATGAACTCAGTTTTAGAAATAATTATGACAAAATAAAAATAAATTCGAACACGTTAGATACACCTTCCATTGTTAATGTTATTCAAGTTTTTCTTGATCAATTACGCTTTTTTCTAAATTAATAATTGCATTTATCAAAGTGAAAAAACGTTTATTATTAACATAGATTCACTCGTACATCTACCTTGAAATCCGATGACTCACTCAAACTTTCGACCGATCTAAATTCTCATTTGGCCTTTAAACCATATCGAGTCTTGAGTCTTAACATTTATGCACGCGGGCCCACACGCACATATATACACACACACAAAGGAATTGAGTACTAAAATTCAAGAACGACCTTTTGGAACCTGAAGAGCTTACCTTTTGAAGAAACCCTAATATTTTAATCAGGTCAATGAAAAGCTTTGCACAGATGACAACCCAATTTCATCACTGCACCATCTCCAATTGTGAAAACAAATACAATATATGAATCTGTACACACGTAAGGTTTCTGAAATAAAAAAAATCCAATGTATAATTTACAGATAATCTTTTCTTGCAAGACCTGGACAACTAGAAAATAGGATCCCAGAAATATAAATATATAAGAAACAGTGTCCAGGTTCAATGAATTTGAATGCGTTGAAATTTTCACTGTTCTGGATTTTTTTATGTTAGGAAGTTGAGAGCTAGCATGAATAGGAGAGAAGGGGAACAGGTTCTTCTCAGTTCAGGTCTCTATATTAGAGAGAGAAATAGATAGATGTAGAAAGAGAAAACATATATACACACACATTTGAGTAAATCAATGATAATTGTAATGCCTGGACATTATAGTATTATTGAGGAGGATAATAAAAACCAGTACAAGATAACAAGAAAATGTTATGGGATTTCTTGGAATCTATAGTTAGTGGGAGCCTCTAGGAATAGACATATATTTAAATTATTTATTGCATCTCAAATTATTAACGAGTGCATAATTTTTCATATGTACATAGATCACGGAGAGAACTAGGTGGCTCATTTTTAAATTATGTTTACAAGAATAACGTTTCCTTGTTGAGATTATTTCCTTCTTGTTGATATATAGTCGTGTAACAAAATTGATTAATTATCATGTCCAATTATAGCTATTTCAATGTATTTAGGTTACAAAAGGTTTGAATGGCATGAAATCACGAATCAATATACAAATGTAGCTAGACATAAAAATCAAAGATCGTGTTAGAGTCCGAGTCTTCCAAGCTTAAAATTATTCAGGGTGTAAATCAACAAGTGTGAAAACAAAAATCGCAAAATGTGAAAAAAAAGAAAAAAGAAAAATGGCTCGGATTTAATTAATGTTCTTTGTCAATGAGCAGCAACTTGTCTTCATCGAATTATTCTATACACTACAAAAAAAAATGGGCTCCACCAACCAAAGGTTTAGCGACCAATAAAACATGGTTGCTATAAGACACGATCAGTGACCAACTAATGGTTGGTATAGGTTTTGGTCTACTAAAAGTGGATTAATTTTGTTATGTTCTATTGCGACCAATGTGTGGTCGCTGATTCAGAGAATTAGGGACCATACATTTGATTGGTTGGTAAAGATAGTGCGGAAAAAGAGCAAAAGATTTTTCCACGTATGAAAACAACTCTAGCGACCACAGAACGGTCCCTGAACCTAATCTTCTACAACCATCGATGTCGTGGTTGCCAAAACATTTGGTGCAATAATTTCCCGCTTTTTGTAAATGATTTTGGCATTTTCTAGCGACCAATAGTGATGGTAGTAGTTTGCCACTCCACACTAACGACCACAGAATGGTCCATGAACCTAATCTTCTGCAACCACTGATGTCGTGGTCTCTAAAACATTTGGCGCAATAATTTCCCTTTTTTAAAAATGATTTTCGCATTTTCTAGCGACCAATAGTGATGCTAGCAGTTTGCCACTCCATTCCAGCGACCACTGAATGGTCCCTGAACTCAGTCTTCTGCACCACCGATGTCGTGATCGCCAAATATTTGGCACAATAATTCCCCATTTTTCGATAGATTTTGGTATTTTCTAGCGACCTGTCGTGATGGTTGCAGTATACCACTCCACACCAGCGACCATGGAATGGTCCATGAACCTAATCTTCTGTAACCATCGATACCATGGTCGCTAAAATATTTGGCACAATAAATTCCCACTTTTTTAAAAATGATTTTGGCATTTTCTAGCAAAATGAACATATCGAGACCATGTTTATGTAGTTTTAAAGTATTCTACCATGAAATAAACACATCGTCCTTTACTAATTGATTTGGGTTAGCTCCAATCCAAATAGAGACGAGTTGAGGTGAGAGACTTGAGAAACAAATAGAGGGATGACGATGATGAATAGAGACAAGAAGAGACTCTAATTTGAGGGCTAA